AGGGTTGCTGTGTAAATGATGAATTTGATTATGGATATTTATTTGAATTAGAAGTCAAATGAAATTCACATTTCTGATTAACTGTAATTTTGATTCATAAGTTATCCTTTTTTTTCTGATTTTGCATTGTATTTTTTTTTTTTTAATGAATTTAGGGCAGGGTCTACAGGGTGTACAGGGTCTCACTACATAGATCAGACTCGTAGTGATTCTCCTGTTTTCATTCTCCCAAGTGCTGGGATTATAGGCTCACACCACCACACCCAGTCTCAGTCACTGTCACAGCACACACGAGGAGTAGGGCTGGCACCGGCAAGGAATGCCAGGGATTGAAGCCTGGCCACTGTGCTCTGCCAAAGTAGCCCCTTTCTTCAGTCAGCTGAACTATTTGGCAGGCCCTTGCATTGTATTTTTTTGATGTATGTTTTTTGTTTTGTTTTGTTTTGTTTTTTCCAGAACCTGTGATTGCCAGACAAGTGCTTATTCAACTGAGCCATCTCCCCGGCCCCTCTTTTTGATGTTTTGAAACAGGGTCTTACTTTATAGCTCAAGCTTGCTTTTAACTTGTGTTCCTCCTGCCTTCCCTATTGAAATATAATCTTGGCACAACTAAAAAACTCCTTTAATATTACACTATCATGGGAAAGTAGTGTGTCCTCTGAATCACTTGGATGAAAGCTCAAATTTATGACCGGCTATCTAAGTATAGTGTTGATACAGTTTTATAATAACACATCATAAGACATATCAGCCCATTTCCTAACCTTTCCTTGTGTATCCAGTAGGTGATTGTTAATAGCTTAGATCCTATCTGCTCAGGGGGGTCCTTATATTTTTTAAAATTTAAAATCTTATGGAGCCGGGAAGATGGCTCAGTGGAATAAATGCTTCCCTGGCAAGTGCAAGGGCCTGAGTTCAATCCTCGGTTCTGGGAGGGGGGGGGGGAACCTCAGTAGATTCTCATTTGGGGGCCGGGGAGATGGCTCAGTGGAATAAGCGCTTCCCTGGCAAGCGCAAGGGCCTGAGTTCAATCCCTGGTTCTGTAAGGGGAAAAAAAAAAAAAATCTTATGCCCTGTTCCTCCCCCAAAACTGGGGATTGAACTCAGGCCCTTGTGCTTGCCAGTCAACTACCTACTCTACTGAGCTATCTCCCCGGCCCATATGCCCTGTTTTTTTGACATCTGTATTTCACACCACATTTTCTAATCAATACTTCGAGAATATGAGGTTATCATTTCTTTTTTTTTTTGAATAAAAGGAATATTTCATCACTGTTGGTGGGATTGTAGACTGGTGAAGCCATCGTGGAAATCAGTTTGTGGAGATTCCTGAAAACACTTGGACTAGAGATTCTGTTAGGAGCAGTTGTTTCATTTTCTTTTCCTTTTATTGATATCTTTCATGAAAATGTCTGAAGCAGGAGTGACCAGCCAGGATTTGGGTTCTGGAACAGAAGATGAGTTCCAGCATCCACATTCATATCATTTCTTTCTATAGTAATCTTTACTTGATATATGTTATGATTTTTTTTTTTTTTTTAATGGGCTTATCTTGAACTCACTATATAGTTCAGTCTGGCCTTGAATTTGAGTTAATCCCCCTGGCTTACCCTCCCCAGTGCTGGGATTACATGTGTGCAACACCATGGCTGCCTACTTGGTGTACTTAATTAGCCAAGGAGTTCCTTTCTGATCTCATGTTTGTTTCTAGAAGAAGTATACAAGAGTGCTATTAAAAGGCAGATGCCAAATGCCTTTGCAGTGACTTGAGAATAGTGGTTATAAGGAAGCTAATACTGATTTAGGTGTCACTTGATTTTATAATAATTTATTGGGCATTATAATAGCATTAAAGTTTTATTTGCTTGCTCAATTTATACTTATTTCAAAAACAGTGTTGAATGAATGTAATTATTTTTGTCAGTGTGTTTGAATCCATTGGAAGGGGGATAGCTCAGTAGAATAAGCTGCTTGCCTGGCAAGCGCAAAGGCCTGAGTTCAATCCCCCGTTCCCCCCCCCAAAATAAAATAAAATAAAAGAATGACTAATTAGTTGAATCTATGGGTGAGGAGATCTTTGAGCAGGGTGATTTGAGGAGTTAGCTGTATGAATATTGTTATGAGGAGCCTTCTAGGAAGCAAGAAGTCACATTTCAAAGTACATGCAAGCCTAGTGGCACATATTAAACATGTAACTAAAGCCTGTGTGCCACCAACATGAGTGAGGATGAAGAGAAGATGACAAGGAAATGGTGTTACTGTGGTAGCAGCAGGACCAGTCTTGAGGCCCTGGTAAGCCGTTGTTAGGATTTCTACTTTCATTTTGACTGGGTTAGAACCTTGGGAAGCCTTGGAGGAGATTTTGAGATTTGGACTATTGTGGACTGACTTGGTTTTCAAAATGATCATTCTGGTTGGTTGTATGACAAATAGACTTAAGAAAACAGCACAAAAGTAGGGAGATAAGTAAGCGAAATAGGAAGGTAAAAAGAATATAGAATGCGATATGAACAGTGTATAAAAATATCACAGTGAAACCTGTATTGTTTTTGTGTGGGACAGTGCACCTGTTGGAACACAGTATCCTGTACGTACAGTTATTGGAGCACGGTACCTGACTCCTGCAGTTTAAAGAAGGAAGGTTTAATGTGTTATCTTTGGAGCACTGGTGATGCTGACACATCAAAGAAATGTGAGGTTGGCTGTTGGATTTATCACTTGAGAATGCAGAGAAAGGGAAAGACATGATTTTAAGTCATGTAGGTTCAAGGTCATAGGACTGAAGTAAAAAAGAGAAGAGTTTTGGGTTTTGTTTTTTTTTTTTTCTTCAAAAACTGAGCCCTGAGACCTGTAAATGTTGAGGTTTGAGGCAAAGACTGGATACTGGCAGTGGAGTCTGAGCAAGAGCCTGGTGACAAGAAAGTTAAGAGCACTGGGTGGTACTGCCATCCTGAAGGCTAAGTACAAAGGCTTGAAGAAAAGGCTACAACTTTAGAATTTGGTGGACTGAGACTGGAGCTTTGATTGAAGCAGTATAAAGGGTGCTTTCTGCAAAAGGATTCTCCCTGCAGAGTGGTCACAGGAGTATCCAGTAATGTCCTTTTAGTGTGTGGAAATAGAACCCATCCCTCTTGTTTTGAGACAGTCTCACTGTCTAGTTCAGGCTGGTTTTAAACTCATTTTGTAGCACCTCCCATGTCCTGGGTTACTTGGTGGTGTATATCACCACTCCTGCCTGAACAGAATTTCTGAAGTGTGGCCCACTTGAACTCAGGCCCTTGTGCTTGCCAGGCAAGCACTTATTCCACTGAGCCATCCCCCGCCCCCAAGGGTGTTCTTAACTACCTGGTTAAATCTTTTGCACGAATGCATTTTGATTCCAGTTTGTCTTTATTTCATTTACTTTATAGCTATGATACTTGGGTGCATGGTAATGATGTTGATGCTGAAATTGAAGATCCACCAATTCCGGAAAAGCCTTGGAAGGTAAATTCATCCCATATCCTCCTTCATTTACCTCTACCCCATTCTTAAATTGTCTTAGTCCCCTTAGTCCTCCTGAGTCCTGACAAAGGCCATGAAGAGCTTGTCAAGCTCTTAGGTGAAACT